GCAAATGTAGTGCAGTTTCAATAGAACAAAATGTGGGAGGTTGTAATGGTTTTAAATTTGTAGAACTCATCTATCATTGTCGACAAGAAGACTGACAAGAAGAAAAGAGGTTCTTCAAGCCCAGGCCACGAAGCTATCCAAGTTTGTTCTTTTCCAAAAGAATGATGTAAACAATCAGCCTAAAATATGCTAAGCATCTATTTTTTCTTTTCGAATACTACATACATTCAGTCGTCTCTTTATTAGAAGGCCTGGACATTGTATATAACTAAAAACACTGAAGGTATACGGTGAGGTGCTAAAGAATGAAAGGGCAGCTTGAACAACATATAAATATGTTGGATGAAGAGAAACTGGAGAAACAACAATACATGTAGTTAATTGTCTTGATATCGTTGTTGTCAACCTTAGTGAGGAACCTGTACAGAAGAAGGCTGTTTTGATGTTCTAGATTTTGACTACGGTCTCAAAATTCTACATTGGATTACCCAAGATTGAAGGATATATGAAGCTGTAAAAACATAACTAAGGTCTGAAAGTGACTACTGCCAATGATTTATTAAAGTATCTTCCGTTACTTTGATATGCCATTTCTCTCCCTAATAAGAAGGGCAAAAACCCAATTTGGTCTTAAACGTGAAAGAGAACCTACTATGGGCATGATGCGAAAGTGCGTGTATATTCGTACCGATAGGTTTTAATATTTCACTACTTGTTTAACCTTTGTTCTTTTTTAATGGGAGAATGCTCTTAAGCTCTTATAGCGACACTCAGGCTGAAAAGCTCGATAGTTTCTTTCTATCAGCTTATATGAAGTGTGAGATTTTCCAAAACCCGCAAATTCACGAAACATCGTCGTTCGCCATGAATCGCTTGACTTAGATCTGTATATCTTTGGTGGTTCGAGATGTCTTCTAACTTCTTTTGACTCGAAGGGTTTCCAAAACTCCATTTTCCATGCACGGTTTTTGATAATCGGTCGGCACATAAATAAAGTAAGGCATCGAAATATTCGATTTCATTGTTTCACGTGATCACATTTGTCACAATCGTCATATAGTTCAATGAGCATTTTTTATGCAAAACCGATGGCATACTTTTCACTAATGTTAGAAATAGTACACAATACATCATAAGATGATAAGCTTTAATTGATGTTTATTACGAATCGGTCATACAAATTTGAAGAATTATATCCTTATTTATTATTATTCGCAAATTGAAATCACCACTACGTGATGTGATAAAAAAATTAAATTTATGAAATATTTTTGCTAATTTCTGTTGTTATCAGTGCATAATGCGGTTTTCGCAAGGTGTGCTTTTTCCCTAAAGATAATTATCAACACCACTAATGGAATATGCAAAAAATTTTGCAGTTCGACATGCACCGCTAAAAGCAAGCATACGTCCACTTTTATTTCTTTTGCACAGCATGGTGCAGAGAGCGTTGGATTGCGTCATTCACGTGTAATTTCTTTGGTTTATTTGCATTGTGATATGTTGATAACGGTGATTAAAAGATTTAGTAACGTCAATCAGTGCAAGGCTTTAACATGAATGCTTAGCAATTTGAACTGTCACTCAAACACAAAATATAATGATAAGAAATGTCGATAATGACATTTTAAGGCATTGTACTCAAACTAGTTAGCAAAATCTAGACTGCATAGGAGCTTGCCCACAGATGTATAACTTATAAATTAAGTAAGATGTTTTAACTGGATAAAAATAATATAATAATGTACATTCTATGCGTGTCTAAAATATCTGTCTGATTACTCTCGCAATATGTTAAATTATTGATTAATTACAAAACCTATGAACGAGATAATCGTGACCAAAAGACTGCAAAACATCGTTCGATAGTGGCGGCGGGGCTCGGGGTGACAGCTCCCCTAACCACGAGTATGCCGGTGGGTGACTCATGCTTGCCGACGCGCTGCCTTGGAGTTGCATCGCAGTTACCTTAAGTGCTAGTTTTTTTCAGAAATTTAGAGTTATAGGTTTTGTGGCGGCCACATTGGTAGCAAGAGAACTTAGTAAAACTCTGGGTGTAGGGCCAAAGTTCAAAGAAGTCAGACACATAAGGAAAAGAAGAATGTTTAGAGTTCGAGGGAGCCTATGTCAGAATCTGCCCAGAAAGAGATTAAACAATATTCAAAATTTCCACTTGAGAATACCAAACAAATAATAGTATGTACAAATAACATGAATATTTTGTATTTTGTATTTATTCAATACAAAAAGAAAATATTTCTTATTCGAATTCATTTATTTCCAGGTAGACCTAAATTTTATTATAAGTTTCCTAATGATTCATTGCTTAAAAAATTAAAGCGCAAGATTATAGACCATAGTCATAAATCATATTTCTTTCTCATCTCAATTCTTTACACAGAGTGAAATATTGTATACTTACATCAAAAATAAAAATAGACTCAACCCTGGCAAATGAAAAAATTACGTAAATAATTGACATGTTTTGAGATGAAATGACTCCATCAAAAATGCTGAAAATACTTAATTGCACGAGAATTTTAAAAAATTATCGGATAGACCACTTTCTTTCAGAAAAGGACTCGCAAAAATGTTTCGCTCCAGGTCTCGCACCTGCTAAGGACGGCTCTGCTCGGTCTTGCACAAATACAGACTTACAATGAGAACTGTATTACGGTAGATTGAGTAAAGCAAACAGATTCAGTTCAGCCAGTGTCTAAGTATGCAATTTTGCAAAACACGACATTGTTGGTACCTCATATTACGGCTGATGTACTTTAAATGATGATGGCCGACATACATCCGTATAGAACGGCAGCTGTCATGCACTGTAAGCCAGAGGTGTAAGGACTTTCTGTCACTTTCACAGTATAAAAATCTAAATAATATAACCATTCCAAGTACGATCCACTTCAATTTATCGTAATGATAATGGTCTGACAATCAAATTATTTATTGAAATAACTGGGATGAATGGTCTAACTGACTAGAGAAGCAGTTCCAATATTCATCGAGGAACAAACAAACTTGATGATTAAAAAAACTTTAATAATGATTCATGTTCATGAAAATACTTAATCTCCATTAATTTTCCAGTTGATCTCCTGAAACCATGTCATAATGTGCATTCCCATAATAAACCAACACTAATGGTCTCAGTTCATTCTACTGTGTCGTAAGTTTTCTTCAATGTACATACATGGGTGTGCAATGTGCTAAGTAGTTAAACTATAAAATTAATTTTAATGAATATTAGGTATGCAAATTATGAATCGAGACAATATTACATGTAACTAGATCCTTGGCACATATAGAAACATTATGGTGATCATTTGGTTTCGATTACCAGGATATTGAACTACAATAAATTCGTGCTGTATTTTGAACACAAAGGTAATTTTGGATAAAATAAGAATGAGGCTTTTTGTTAAAATTAGAGGCATACCGGTCCCCACGAGGAGCCGGCGCATACGCCATATGATGGACCCTTATGCGTCACTAAGCCTCAAGCTCTGCCTCTCTAGCCAAGTCAGTATAGCCTCCAGTTCTCTAACATTCTGGGGATCCAAAGTGTCGGAACCCAGTATAGTCTGCCTGTAGTACTCAGCGCCTCGCAGAGACACAGAACACACATAACATCCTCTGCCATTCCCATCATAAGCAGGTGCCTCATCGTGTTATGGCCAGACAACAGCCGCGCCACCTACTTTAGGTTGGATTTATCAAAAGATTCACAAAAGCGTCATCCTTAACACAACACCCTGATATAAGCTCCCGTTCCTGTTGAAGTTGTCTAGAGATACTTCTTTATTTCAGAGAGTGTTGTCTAGATATCCACTCCTCCGTTAACCTCCTGACTCCTTGTGCGGTCACAACTAGGACCGGCTCAGGTCTAACACAAGCCTGTCCGTTCACCCTACTCTCGCAAGAGCGTCCGCCATTCTTTACCCTTTATCCGAGCGTATGTCGGTACCCACACAAATGATACCAGATGGCTTCACTGCTAAACTCTGCAGAGCCTGCCTGCATTGTAACAGAAGGCTCGAAGTAATTTTGCAGGCCTTCATTACAGCCTGGCTGTCGGAGAAGATTGTTATAGTTCTCCTAGGCCCTTCCCCCTGCAGAATATGAGATACGCAAGACAGAATCGCACAGATTTCCGCCTGGAAAATAGTAGTGTATCTACCGAGAGGCAGTGAGAGCCTAGTTCTAGGTACAAAGACCCCGGCGCCAGAGCCCTCTTCAGTAATCGAGCTGACCAATTTCTTCAGAGACCTTCCAAATTCCGGAATCTCACTTCACTCTCGTCGCATACTCCACATTGAAGTTGCAGCTAAAGGAATATACAAGGGTGATTAGACCTTTTCAGGATTCGTGCTGGCCCATGCTGCCTTGGTCTACGTTGTCCACGGTTAGTTAAGCTTTGCCTTCATGGAGGCACAAATATGGGTACCAGATAAAACTAACGGTTAGTTCATCTTCTGGTCAAAATTTGCAGTTTTTAAGCCCAGTCTTGCTCTTTATCAGTTTTGAGATGTATTCAAGAATTGTATACTTACTGCAGTAAGAATACAAATGATAAAAAATTAGACCGGCTCACAGACATACTGATAAAGATTAATGAAAATACTATTTAATTTGTTTTAAATATTGTGTAATTTGTAATTTTCAATTAATATTCGTCAGTAAATAAACGTGCTAGAAACACATGCATATATGTGTCATATAGATCACCATATCATTGAAATTCTTCTCACTTTTCCTGGAGGTTCTGTTACATTATACAGCGTATATTGACGCTATAAATGCTTGGAAATGCATACCATCCACGTTTACTGCTTGTGTGTAAAAACTACAATAAGGAAGAATCATTATAAAGTTGTTACAAAATTTATAACGCTTCCGTTATGCTTTGCATATTATAATTTCTTCTTGAGTTAGACAATGTATTTCTTAGTTAAGAACCTTCCAATTAGGTTCTTTATGGATTCAGTGCTTACCTATAAACGTATGGCCCAACCTCCTCAAGTTTCAGTTTGTCGTCCTCCCCACTCATGTATGCTTCTTTATTTGTTACGTTCCAAAGATGAACCCTGAGGTACAGATCTACTGGCGGGCTTCTCCATAGTTCAAAGATCTCACCACCTTCTTCAAATATGAGTTTCTGGAATAAAGATTGACTCTAGGAAGATGGCTTCAAGCTACAAAACAATATTGAATGGTCTCATAGAAAACGTAATTTTGACTACCTCAAGCCATCGTGGGTTTAAACTTGCACCTAATGTATCAGTAAAAGAAGTAATATGTTGTTTCATATGACGCATAAAATACGTTGTTGAAACCTACATAATTATTCATTCTAGGTTTTCGATATACTTGAGCAGTAGGTAGAAACGGATAATTTGACATACATTGGAACCTGGAGAGATGCGGCGAAAATGACTGCTGGCTTGAATTTAGCTGCTTTCAGGATTTGTGGTATAGAGACATAGAAGTTGTTTTTGTCTGTGTAACCTACATAAAATATTTTTGCAAAATATTCAGCATTTTCACATCTTGATACCTCAGACTACATGCAGACAGCTTGTATATAGTTTTTGTTTATTTCTATCTATAGTTTTATCTGTTATTATTGTAAATTCTGAATAGACATGATGAGTACTACTCACGCGACAAGCCACTTGATCCTCCTCGGACAAAGTTATCATGGTTAAATATGCGGTAAACAATAATTTTTCTATTTTGTCATAGTTCAACAAACCATTCCTATTTTAAAACTTAATAAACGATAATTATCATTGCCCTGTCCAGGCTGAGAGCCTTATCGCGATTCACAAAAAATCTGAGCGGACGCTGCGATACTGAAGTTCAAGATTTCAAAACAACGGTATAGATTTGTTAAGATAAATCGCCAATATATAGAGCAATGACCCATTACTAATTAGTGTTAGAACCTATTTAAAGCAGTTATTAATGATATCCACAATTGACATTTCAAAACAGGAATACATTACCGCTAATTACTATTGTAGATAGTGGTAGTAATGTGCACATTCTTCATCAATGTTTGAATTTTAGTTATCTGAGGGCTTTTAACCAGTTGCCATTTTGATGTTTTGAAAATAAAAACTTAACGTGATATCCGTGCTGTTCATTGCGGTAATATTTATTAATCATAAAAACCAAATTTATTGAAAAACTGCCACTCAAATATTGTTTATTTTTACGCATGCAAAAATTTGTGTTTTTTCTTTACTAAACCAGATTGTCCATCAAGAAAGCCCTTGACCTGATGTGGGCGTTTGGGGCTTTTTGTAATTTTGAGTTTGATACGAATTTTGAAACAAACCCACCTTTTTCATTCAGCCTTTCTCAACAAAATGCTTTGTGTTTGACAATTCTCCATCCTAGAATTTATAAATCTAGAACCTATAATAATGTCGACCCTTAGGACATGAACAGTAAAGAAAAGTATATCTTGTGGTTTGATTTGTGAAAAACGGCAGCGATATAGACTTTTATGTTACTTTTCAGGGAAATATTAGAGAGGTGGATTACCTGTTTACATTGTTTTATTAAATAAGAATAATTTGAAGGTGCAGTACTTCTAGAAAATTACGAGCACTGAATGATGTTGTGTGGACTTACCCATCTGTATATGAGGTCGTAAGGGTTAACTACGTTAATGAAAGTTCCAACCATCAGCCCACCAAGACCCAGTAAGGCAATTGTTATGGCACCTGGAATAGAAAAAGATAATTTACTTCAACAATACGTAGGTTTAAAATGCGATATCCTTTTCATTAGATGATCATTGTCGCTGGAGGCAAAATATCCTACCCTCGCTCGTATCCTTTACTCCTAAGCTATCTTCGTGATACGGTGGGTACCTTAATGTCGGAAACAACATTCTTGAGGCATCATACAAAATTGTGCCAAGAGACTCTATCAAGAAACTGAAATTAAACGCATTTGAGTCACAGTGTGGTTATTCACCTTATATCCGGGCTATTATACTTAATTTAAAGCTATTTTCTCTAACATTTAAGCGTAGTAGAAGGTGTACACTCAAACGATCTTATAGAAGAAACTGTCCCAGCAACATCCATTTAACGGTGAAAAAAAATAAAATGTTTTGTTTCAATTCTTCTAAAATTCATATCCGGAGACCAAACGCATATTACGGGCGGTAATATATTTGAGTAGCTAGTGTATGTACTATAAAGAGTACCTACTCGTTTCACTTGATATTACAGAGAACGAGGAATTCCTGTATAATCATTTATTTGTGACTACCGACGAACGAAGAAATTTAATAACAATAAATTTGATAGACACAAAGTGCTTTGTTTAGAAATTAACATTCACAAAATAAGGAAATTATGTTGATTATCTCGGTGAATAAATTTGCATGAATTACTTGTTATAGCTTATACAAAACGAATACATTTTATTTAAATGTTCAAATATTTTTGAAACCCTGCTTGAAATTGTCGCCTCTTAGGATATTTTTCATACTGATGCTGCTGCAAAGGCAGAGCCTAATACTAAGGTACGCACAATGCTATAAAAAGTTAAGGATATATTGATGATCTACCTACTGCCTAACATTAGCATGAGTAGAGAAACCTATATAATGATATATCTATAGTACGAAAAATGGATTTTTTATGCTATTTTGGGATTAAAGTTGTGCTAATAACTATAACAAGACTACTGAACATTAGCTTCATCGCATTATGTAGATTGTGCACCAAACTTCAATATATTTTTCCGTAAAACTATCGATTATATGCAAGGTAATAAGGACAAGGTCCTAACATATGGTATATAGGATCATTGGTACCTAATAATAATAACGTTTCGATTACACAAAAATAAAACAAACTATATACACTACTGTTCCAATCACGACATTTCTTATAGCTATTATTATCACATCATTGATCTTCAGCATAGTATTTAAACTATCGACAGGCAATGCATGAAAAAACATATGTTAGATCATCCATCATGCTTTACGTTAATGGCAGCTAAGCTTATTCTTGGAAAACACATGTAAAAATAAATGGGGTTTAACAGGAGACTACTACACATAAAGATGAGGTCGATAGCGAACCCGTCAGTGGCCACTGTAATTCCCATCTCAGCTGCATTACAGTTTCTCACAGAACCTTGACTTTTAAAAAAAAGAAATCACGCTAGTGCGTTGCTTGGGAATACCCTGTATTCAGATCTCGAACGCGCCATTGGTAGACCGTACCCTGAACCCTGTTAAAAAAAGTACAAAAAGCACGAAACAGTCCGATCGACCCATGAAGTAACGGTTTGATGACTAAGGAATATTCCAAAGTGGTTGGTGTAGATTCTGATTGGATGTACTTAACCGGTTCCGACATAAAATACAAATAATCTTTATTCGTCAAATACTCCGATGATTACATTCAATGCGTGAGAACAGAGGCAGGAAAAACACATTAAAAACATAACAAGGTTAAAATATTGTAAAAAAATCCACAAGCTCTTGAACAGTGTAATACATTCGTTTGTCAGTCGGTCTATGTTCAATGTAAAATAAACTAATAAACTGATCAAAACAAATTTTGCATATTGTGTGGAGACACGCGGCACAATGAGATCATCCGATGAAATGATTGGTACTGTTTGACTCGATATTTGTTTCCATGATGTTGCGTCCCACTTTCTTCTCTTTTTTTTCGCTATATTACCTGCATCACATATAATATAACAGTTCTCATATGCTATTAAGTTTTCTAAGTAGCGCAAGATTGTAGCTACTTCGGCCCTATAAATTATACAGGGTGATTCACAAGTCGTGACCAAAAATGAAACATACGCAGGACCGCATTTTAAGGGGGGTCTGCTATGTAACATTTTTTTCTCGACGGTTTCATTGAAAAGATACGGGGTGTTGAAGTTTAAAAATGAAAAAAAAAATTTAATATCTTCAAAACCGTCAACTGAAATGAACTAAATTTTGATATGTGGATTTATCTAAGTATTCTCCATATGCAAAAGTCTTTACTTAAAATTAACGTGTACCAATGGCGGAGATACAGAAAACTAGTGGCATTATTTTGCCAAATAAAAATAGTAAGCCATTGTTTTTTCGGATGTCACCTTCAATTTGCAACAAATAATTACTTTGGTATTTCGTTAAAATAAAAATAAAACAAATTAGATCATTTATGAAGAGCCGAGATAAAATTAGCTTCAAAATAAAATAGGAGACCTTGATACCAACTTGACGTTTCTTGGGAGATAGTTTGTCAAAATTATGTGCTATACGGTTGTTATCGTTACAACTACCATTTTTTTTGTAAAAAGTAAGTCAAAAGTATTTTTTCCCTATTTTTGAGTGTTGTGAAATGGAATTTAGCTAAGATGAGTAGGCCGATATTATTTTTGTGTATGGGTTCTGTAATGGAAATGCTTTAGCGGCTTCACGGGTGTATCAACGTAGATTTTCTAAGAGACGCCAACCTACCCCAAAGGCTTTTACATGTTGATTTCTAAGACTTCGGCAATATGGCAAAGCCAAACATCCCAGAATTAGAGGCCGTGGTGTCCAGAATACTGTTCAAGATGACCTGGAAGTGATTAATCTGGCGTTGGATGATCCTAGTACAAGTACTAGGCGGATTGCAGACCAGTTACCATGTAACCCAAAGTCTTGCGTGGAGAATTTTAAATCGGGAAGTTTTACATCCTTACCATCGGCAAATTGTGCAATGCCTGCAATCCGGCGACGAAGTGCAACAGCAAAATTTTTGTAAGTGGTTACTGCAAATGCAAAATAAAAATGCAGATTTTATTAATTTGGTTTTGTGGTCAGATGAATCGCTCATAGTTATTTTTAGTTTCAATTCTACGAGTATTTAGAATGGTTTCACCACTGAGACTTTTTGTTTATTCTTTGACATAAACTAGCAACACAACGAGAGGGCACTGAAGTTCATAAAGGCTTCTTGTCTCAAAATTGTGTCATATGATCGTTGACACAATTTATAGAACTGTATAAAGAGCAAGACCAGCAAGTTACAGCAGAACCTGCACCATTTGTCTGTAAGAGCGAAGGGACCCAGCGGCAACCGAGGTGTCAGTTAGTTGAATATTTTTTGCCATCACTAAAGTGGGCCGTGCTGGCAACGTTGTGATAGTACGCCATGACGGATAGGCATGTTCAGAGAACAGTAGTAGGCAATGTGTTTGGCTTAATAATAAATTTAGCCCCTGTGCCGCCACCTTGCGGATATAATTGTTCAAGGAGTGGGAATGATGATCGTTAACAATCCAATAGAACAGTAACCTGAAACCGGCTCTGTTCAAACATCTTTGCCAATGCGTAGAAGTGTAATACAGGTTTTGGGGTGATTTCCAGCTTCCTACCAAGGACGCAATTAACGATCCTCAGACTTGCATGAGAAAAAAATGACGAAAGTAGTATCTGTAATTGCAGTAGTGCTGCACACACGGACAGAGGCGTTCGCCAACTCGAATCTTTGTTTCTTGGGATGATGGCCTTTTATTTTTTATATTATGCGTAAAGTACAAGGTATAGGTTACACTTGATTGACACATTCATGCTGAAAACCGTGTACCTTATAATATCTGCAGACACGTTTAAGAAAGCTCATATGCGCTTGTTGAAGCATTGATAGATCCAGATCAATAAATGGTGTATAGGCGAGGATCGTTCCTTTGTTATCGACCAATGGAGCAATTTTGCTTTAACAAAATGGTTTATAGATTTTGGCAGAGCTTTAGCAATTCATAGAATTGTAAGCTCAAATTCTCCCCATCGCAAAGAAAATGCCGCAGATAGGTAGCGCGGTGGCTGGTGCTGTGTGTCTAGCCGCCGTGAGCTGCGAGGGTTCGGATCCCTTCCCAAGAGAATTTATAATAGATAGAAAAACAATAAAGGCAAAATCCGTAAAAAGAACGAAAGTTGATTCAAGCTCAAAAAATGATAGGTAACCCGAGCAAAACGTATACATTTCTGCTTGTTGGCTTGATCAGGCCCGAAATAAATGTACATATATAACTGCAAAAGTAGACACACCCGGATACTTGTGTAACCTGAGGAAACGACGATGGAGAGGGAAAAAACTGACACATGAAGTCACCAAGAAGAGCCAACCTATACATTGTGATATAATGGCTAGAAGACCTCGAGTAAAGGTATTGCTTGGGTTACCATTGTTTTTTGCTGCTCGAATCCACTTTCGTTCTTCTTGCGGATTTTTATTTGTTATATACTTTTCTCCGCAGGATACTTCCTTTTTTGTAGATCCTTTGGGCTTGGAGTACCGCGGTAAGTGGCTATAACCGGCCGCGTAGTTGTAATTAGATGTCGTTTTGAAGACTCGAGGTCTTCTGGCAATTATACCACATTATGTAGGTTTGCTCCTGGTGCTAGCTTCGTTTTGTTTCCTCTCCCCCTTTGTTTCATCCGGATATATGGGCATTTGTGTCTACTTTTGTAGTCACATATGTTCATTCATTTAGGGCATGATGAAGCCAACAAGCAGAAAAACGTATTTCTCAGGCTAGCTATCCTTTCCTGCTTTTTGCCCATTTATTTGTCATATGCCTTTCTCCGCGTGACGTGCCCCCATTCCCTGTATCCCCTATAGCCCCACGGTACCTACGGGTGGTTAGACCTTTGGCTTGAGTGCTGACTCAAGTATATAAAAAAAGATCTCGATGTAAATGTGCC